AAAGACGGTAAAGTACCTAGGATTTATAGTCACTACGGGGAAGGGCGTGTTTTACGACCTAAAGAAGTTATAAGCTATCCGCGAGTAGGAAGCGCCCTTAACGGTTAAAGGCGTGCGAAGCTTCTTAGGGTTTACGAATTATTACCGGATCTTTATTAAGGACTTTTCGGGGATCTCCGCCCTATTAATAGCACTTACTAAAAGGGACTACGCCTTTTAATAGGGTCCCGATAAAGAAATAGCCTTTCGCGAGCTAAAAGCGAGGTTTTAAAAAGGACCGATACTATAATAGTAAAACCTAGTAAATAAAATATTTATTAAGATAGACTATTTAGGGTTTACCTTTAGAGGTAGCCTAATATAAGAAGATACGGATAGAAATCGCTATATAGTCGTATACTACTCTTATAAACTTAATAGAGCAGAATATAACTACCTAATCCACGATAAAGAGATATTAGCGATTATAAGTTATCTAGCGATATAGCGGGCTAAGCTTATTAGCTATAGGTAGTTTATAGTCCTCTCCGACTATAAGGCCCTTAAGTACTTTATAATAAAGCGAACGCTTACTAAACGATAAAGCCGATAGGCTAATAAGTTTATATAGTTCGACTTTATACTCGAATATCGGAAGGGAAAGGATAATACGATAGCGGACGCCCTCTCGCGTCGATAGTAAGATAAGCCCTAAGATATAACGGACGAATAAGAGTAATCTCGCTATATTTAATTAATCCCTAATACCGCGATTCTACCTAGCGTTCGCCGTATTAATAGCGGTTAAATAATCTTTAAGGCGGACTAAAAGCTATAATAACTATAGGATAAAACCCTTACGACTAATAAATAGTATTAAGGAGCCCTATCTACGGTTACTAAAAAAAAACGATAATTCCTACTATTATTAGAATTAAAGCTATAAATAGCCGAGTACTTAGTCTCTACGACCGGGTTATTACTATTCCGCGACCGAATTTAGGTGCCCGGGTCTACTAAAGAGTTAACGTTACGAGGGAGGATCGTTTAGTTAATTTATAACTTAGTTATCGGAGGATACCCCGGATATAAAAATACTATCGCTTTAATAGCGCGTCGCTTCTTTTAGCCGAGGATAAATAAGGATATCCGATAATTCGTCCGGAACTACGATATCTACGGAAAGGGGTATATATAGAGAAATACGAAATAAGGCCTCTTATACCCCCTCCCGGTACTAAAACAAATACAGAGCGACCTATCGATAGACTTTATAACGGACCTACTATTAGCCGGCGAGAAGAAGGCGCGCTACCTTTAGGTTATTATAGACTATCTAACTAAGGCTATAATATTAGAAGCGATAAAGATAATAAAAGCCGAAGCTTACGCGGAATAGTTCCTATACTACTATTTCCGGTTCTACGGGATACTTAGGTCGATTATTAATAACCGAGGCTTAAACTAAATAAGCAGGTTCTAGAAGCACTTTTATAAGCTCGCACGAATATCGTGTAAGCTTAGCACGGTATACTACCCCTAGACCGATAAAGTAATAGAGCGTATAAACTAAGAAGTATAAGCCTATTTATAAGCTTTTATCTATTACGCCTAAAATAACTAGGATCGCTTATTACCCGTAGTACAACTAGCCCTAAATAACCGCGAGAGCTTTATAACGGGGTTTAGTCCTTTCTTCTTAGAATATAGCTATTATATTAACTCGATCTAAATAACCGAAGAGCCCCCCACGGAACCTATTAGCGGCCTATAACCTACTACAACGCCTATAGGAAGCGACCGAGTTCGCCTAGGCCGCGATCGTATCGATATAGCTCCAGAATAAGGAGTCTACTAACTAATATCGTATACCGGCTAAGCGTTTTAAGGTTAACGACTTAGTTTAGCTATTATTAGCTAATTACTCGACTCCGCGACTATCCTATAAGCTTAATTAGCTTTATCGTAAATACCGAGTTATAAAGTTAATTAGCCTATATATAGTCGAGCTCGCCATGCTATCGTAAATCTACCCCCGATTCCACGTAGACCTATTACGTCGCGCGGGCGATAACCCCTTTCCGGGATAGGTAGTAGACGACCCTTAACTACCGCTTATTTAAGGGGCGACTAATAGTAAAGAATAGGAAGTCGAGGAAATCCTTTACGCGAGGACGAAAAGGTAAGATAGGGGATTAAGACATTAGTACGATAGGTAGGATACTATAAGCCTATATAAGAACCGCTAAAACTATTAGCGTAAACGCGGGTATTTAACGAGTTTAAAAGGAAATTCGGCTTAGTAATAACGAATAATAGCCTATTAGACACTTTTACGCTATTATAATACAGGAACCGATATATAAGCGATTATATCGCGATAATCGGAAGGGGGTAAGAGTTAGATTTAGTTTAGGCTGGATAGGCCCCGCGCCCTAGCCACGCTTAATATAAGCCTAGATCGATATCCTCGGCCTTAAAATCGTTATCCTCGGGATTATCGATTTCTGTAAAAGTCTTACCCTTATCACCCCGCTATAGGTCGGAGTCTATCTCCTTAACCTTATTATTATCTTTATTATTATTATTATTATTAGGGATTATAACCGCGCTAGCGATAGTTATACCCGTAAGCGTAAAAGCCCGCCTATACTCCGCGTACTATTAGAATTCGGAGATCACGATATTAGCGTAACCGAGTACGAGTATCTCCCTAAATAGCCGAGTATACTCCCTTAGCTTTATAAAACTAAGGCGCCTAAAGTCTTTATCCGATAATATCGACCCCGATAAGGGAGTAGGAGTAATAGGATAGGCGTTCTCTTCCGCTATAATATTAGGAGGGACTAAGCCCGAAACTACTACCTTACCTATAACCTTATAAGGAGGAGAAAAGGCTAGCTATTTCGCCCTAGTAATAACCTCCTTTAGAAGCGATATATCTAGTCCTAACGCTATCTCTTCTATAACCTCTAAGGGAGGAGAAAAGACTAATATAACCACCTTATTAGCGACCTTTATTACCGGAGGAAGCGAAGCGAGTTTAGTTACCTCGTTAATAACCTTAGGAAAAGGTAATAAGGCTAACTATAATACTACATTTTCTTAGACCTCTTAAGGAGGAGAAAGGGCTAGCGTGATTACTATACCGGGAGCCTTTACGGGATATATAGCTATAGGTAATATCGCCGTTATTATTTCCCTAGCTATAAGGGTATCCTAGAACGCCGCGTAGGCGTTAAGATACGGTTTTTACTCCTAGGAGAAGGTTAGCGAAGCGGTTATAACCTTAGAAGGGGAGGAGGCCTTATAAGGACGTTCTTATTATCGTCGTTAATAAGGATAGCCGTCTTAAATAACCTCTATGTGTAGCCTTTAAGGTACCCTAGGAGAGGAGTATACCGGTATATCTTCGTAGAGTATATATAGTATTTCTTCCCCCGATTAGTCTAGCTACGATAAAGGCGCTTATATTTCCTATTAATAACGTCGCGCGTGTAAAGGAGGCACGGCTTAGTATAAACGCTACCGGGAGAGTATTTAGGAGGCCGATTACCCGCTAATTTCTTCTTTTTAGGTAGCAGTAAGGGCGATAATATAAACTATTATATAGTTAGTATCGCTTTAAAGCGTGAGAGTAATATACCTATATTATCGTCGGTAGCTCGCTTACTACTATTATTACCCCTATTATCGCCGGGGGCTAGCGCCGTCTATAAAATAATATAAGTTAGCGGAAGCTTCCTTATAATAGATTACGAGTAAAAGACGGCTGACCTTAAACGGAGAACTCTTAAACTAACTAAGTATTACTAATATTATCTAAGGATAGGAGAAGTTAGAAGAGTTATCGTTATAAGGAAGAATAAATATATATAGAACCGCTATTACTATTATTATTATTATTAAAGGTAGGGAGGGGAATAAAGGAAAAGAGGGCCTATAAGGAAAATAGGGCCGATATATCTACGGATAGTATCTACGTAAGGGGGGCTTATATTACTATTTTAGGTATATAAATAAAAGTTAGTAGGTAACCTAAGATTTCTTTAATATCGAGGTAAGGGCGAGGTAAGATAAAAGGATATAACTATTCCTTTATTACCGCGATATAAGGGGGAGCCGAACTATAACGGTAACGCGCGGTCACGTAACCCCTAAAAGGGGAGGGGGGGGATAGTATTACGGGTTAACCCCGATATAGAGGATCCGGCTATACTCCGGATCTTCCTAACTACGCGCTTAGTTAATAGACCTATATCGCTAAGTCATCGCTACCTTATAGCCAGCCTAACGCCGTAGACTTTTCTCCTTTTTTTTCCCTTTTCCCTCCTTAGTTCTAGATAATCTATTATTATGACCTCACTTAGTGCTATAACCTGTAACCAGTCGTTCACACTTACCTGCCTTTTAACTCGACTTTAAAAGATACGTAACTGCTCTTTAAAGCTATTTTAAGATTGACTATAAGGCTCCGGCGAGGTTAGGTTAAGTAATTACTAAGCTAATCAGGGCATAGTAATTAGGGGGTGTATCGCACTAAAAACACGTAAGCCTATTTTCTGTGTTTCTATTGGCTGGGCTAGCCCTATATTCCTCGCGTGGAAAAGGGGTAGATATATTTAGAATACCTATACCTTCCTGTTCTTCTTTCCTTTGTGTAACGAATATAATTATACATCTTCTGTATCTATGCTCCGGCCGGATCACACGCCCGTTAATCCAACATCCATCGCGACTCCGACTTTGTACTCCTCCGTACAATTACCCCGAAGCCCAAAGCTCTCTTGTGAAGTAGCTGGAGCTGGAGCTGGAGCTGTCCTAGCATTGCCCTTCTTCTCCTTACAATAGAATAGATTGTTATCATTAACGACTACGGAGCTCTCAACCATCTTATATACCACCGACTGTCGGCACTTTGGTTCCCTTACTGGTCTGAAGTAGGTTGAAGGAGAGAAACATATACAGTGATATTATTTCATCGGCTTGATTTACTTCTTCATTCTCCTGTTAATCAACCGAGAGAAGCAAACACGAGCAGCAGCATACTATCAAGTGACTTTCGTTTGATTCGTATGTATTTGCCGATGATCTAATCGGCATTCATGTACATGATCTAAAACCTAGGCCGTCAGAACCTATGATATTGACTCTCCTCACCCCACACGCTAAAACCGCGACTGGACCTTCTTCTGCGTATCCTGCAGAGCCCACTCGCTGGACTTCGTCCGGCTCACCACCTTCTTGACCTGCTCGGAAGTGAAACCCTTGGCCTCCACCGCAGGGTTGTAACCAAGGCGGTTGACCTTGCCGACCTCCGCCGAGTCGACCTCGGGCGCCTCCCGCCCATCAGCGCGACGATAGATCGTCACGACAACAGCACCGCCCAGTCCAAGGTTATGCTGGAGCGCGACCCTCGTATTCGGCACGGCGCGGTTATTCGCCCAGCCGCGCAGATGCCACACCAGCTCCGCGCACTGCGCAATACCCGTCGCGCCGAGCGGGTGCCCCTTGGAAATGAGCCCGCCGGACGGGTTCACGACGTACCGCCCGCCGTAGGTGATGTCGCCGTTGCGCACCAGCTCGTGGGCCTTCCCGCGCTCGGCCAGACCCAGGGCGTCGAGGACGACCATCTCGTTGGCGCTGAAGCAGTCGTGCAGCTCGACGACCTGGACGTCGTCGCGCGGGCTGACGCCGGCCTCGCGCGACGCCACCTCGACGGCGCGCCGCGTCATGTCGTAGCCCATCAGGTCGATGGCGCTGCGCGAGAAGAGGCTCGGGCCGTCGGTCGCCAGGCACTGGCCCGCGATCAGCACGGCCTGGTCGCGCAGGTGGGGGCGCACGTCCAGGAAGGCCTGCGACACGAGCACGGCCGCCGCGCCGCCGTCCGAGGTCGGGCAGCATTGCAGCTTGGTCAGCGGCGCGTGGATCGCGGTCGAGGACATGATCTGGTCCAGCGTGTAGACGTCCTGGAACTGCGAGTAGGGGTTGCGCACCGAGTGCTCGTGGTTGATACGGGCGATTTCGCCAAAGTCTTCGGCCTTGGCGCCGAACCTGTTTTTGTTAGCCGTCTTGTGATGGAGGGGGAAAAAAAGAAAAAAAAAAGAGAAAAAAAAGGAAAACGTACTTCTCCATGTACTCCCGCCCAGCATTACCAAACATCTGGGGAGCAAGGGGCCCCTTCGTGATCCCCGTAGTGTCCTCCATCATCTTGTGGGTAGTACCCATGGGGTTCTCCCGATCGTTGAAGAACGACTGCAGCGACCCGGGCATCATCTTCTCGAACCCAACCACAAGAACGCAGTCGGCGGCGCCCGAGCCGATGAACTGGCGCGCCATGGCGAGACCCGTGGAGCCCGTGGAGCAGTTGTTGTTGACGTTGTAGAGGGGGATCTGGGTCATGCCGAACTGGTAGAACACGCGCTGGCCCGAGGTCGAGTCGCCGTAGCAGTAGCAGGCGATGCCCTGGTCGACCTCGTCGTAGTTGATCTGCGCGTCCAGCATGGCCTTGACGCCGGCCTCGAAGCCGAGCTCCGTGTAGTCCACCTTGCCGCGCGGCTTGATGAACTTGGTCATGCCCACGCCGAGCACGTACACCGGGGCCTTGGGCCTGTTGTGGTGGGGAGCCATGGCGGAGTTGTTGAGAAGACCGGACGAGGGGGGAGAGGAGGAGGAAGAAGAAGAAGAGGAGGGAGTAAAGGGTGAGTCCAACTGGTATTGGAAACCTTCACTTCGACGGTTTGAATAATTTGTATAGGGATAATAAAATATACAAAGTATGGATGGAGGGTATTTCTCGAGAGTTGCAGGAGGGTATCACAAATGTATGCCCAACTCGACGAGAGACTGACGACGTTCGGTGGGATGTGGTACAGAAATAGGGGATCACGACCATAGACCACGGCACCGCTCCGGTAAGACGGCTATGGCTGGGATTACAAATTCCCACGGCAATAAATCTGTCGATTAGTACCAGTGCCAGTGCCAGCGCCAGCGCCAGCGCCTTAGGTCGGTACTTTGTACTAAAAAAGGAGCAGGGCAAAATATGTGGATGGATATAGGATGGAAGGACTGTGAAATACCTACGGAGTAAAAGAGTAAGGTACCGGTACCTTAAGGTATGTACGGAGTAGGTGCAAGTGGCAAAGGACGAGGAACGTCTTAATGCTATAACCGCCACCTCTTCCCCTGGATGATATTCTCCAGCCGTAGTGTAGTACCTACTCATTAGTACACGTGTACAAGTGTACTCCGTACCATCTTCGTTCTCTGTGCCACATGCCATGTGGTGCACGTGTACCGCATATTAACCCACAACACTCGACGAAGGGGATTTACTTTTACTCTATGTAGTGGGTAACACAGTAGTAACGGCACCCGAGAAATGCGGGGGAGCGGGACAAGGAACGGCTTACAACGTATTTGCACGGATACTGAGTCATTACGGAGTACAAGTACACGTACATACAGGCGTCAGCCGAGGACCTTCGACAAACATAAAGGTAAGGTACCGTACCTATCCCCGAACGAACGCATCGGCTGGGGACGACAGACAGAACACACGATGGTGCACTGTACAATGTACCTTACTGGAGCGCTCAGCACCCCACCCCCGCGCCGTAGCTTGCTGCGCGAAGAGGTGGGGAAAATGGGGGGCGTGGCGTTGGCGGCTGGGCTCGCCCTCAGAAGCTTGGGCCAATCAGAAAGGATGCCGAGGTAAACTCGGCCGAATGTCGCGTCGCGGTTTGCTTCTGAAAGTCGCCAGGAGACGTCTCACGGTGCTGAATGCCGTAGAAGGACATTGCTGCGAGACTACCTTTTAGGCAGATGATCTGGGAATGTCTTTGCGACGGAGTATAATTCTATCAAGTATATCTGTATCCAAGGTAGGTCAAGAGCTCTCTGGACCATAAAGCCAGGGAATAAATACTTTGTACTTGTGCTTTTGTTCTTCGTTCCCGCGGCTCGGCTTTGCGAGGCCAGCTCTAACGCCCAGCATAAACAGATATTCCATTCGGTCCGGCAACAGAGTATATTGCCACTCTCACTACGCTTTGCGCCACACGATATCTCGCCCGCCAAAATAAAAGTTCAATCCACAATAGATCGCTCCAATAACCCGTCCTGGGATCATACTCCCTGAATATGAAGGAAATAGAAACACCTGCTTGTCCCGCTATATCATTTGGGGTATCGGCTAATCATTTTGTACATCGTACAAAGGAAAAGGGAAGGAAACGGGAAAGAAAAAAAAAAGAAAAAAAGTAAAAAAGAAGTAAAAAGATGTCCCAAGCCCACCAAATTCCATCCTCATCCACCCTGTCAAAATATACAAGGACCTAATAGACCTGCATGTCGCCTAAATCCAGAAGATCGTGGGGAGTATGGGGTAGTGCATGCTTACTCAAAGCAAGCAAGCTACCTAATTGTCTGTCGACTGTTGGGTGTTGTCCCGCACTGGGAAGTCGATGCCGAGGTCCTATTTGTAAACCGCTATCGGCCCAGGCTGTGGCTGCGTATCGGACTTATTCTCCGACTTATCCAACGCCTTCCATCGGCCTAGTCCCAACCTTCCCAGAGTCTCCAGGTATCGTCGGCTTCTCTCACATCGGCCGGCACTGCTCCTGGTGGGTATGGAAAATGTGATGGCGGCGGCCCTGGCCCGGCCGCTGCGTAAGGGTGCATAGGATCTCCCGCGAGAGCCGACGCTGGTACGGGACCGGAACCGGAACCGGAACCGGAACCGGGTCCGACTCCGACTCCGGCTCCGGGCGCCGCCATCACGAGTTGCGGGTTCGTGTTGGTAGCCCGCATACACGTCTCGAGCACCACCGTGAGCATGCGCCGTATCTCCCGCCTCCTCTGCTCCGGCATGCTCGTCTTCACCGTCGCGAACACAACGGCGAGCGCGACGAGGTCCTTAACATCGCTGCCCCCGACGTTGTGCATCAACAGCTCCATCGACTTCTCCACCGTCCTGATCAGCCGGGACGGGGACCACAGCGCGAGTGACCCGGGGAATGTCCCAGCGCCTTCGGTCGAGTCGGGCGAAAAGAGCCGCGTCTCGCTGGCCGTCGTGTTGCCGCCGCCGCCGCCGCCGCCTCCTCCTTCTCCCTTTACCCCTCCTCCGGCTCCGGCTCCGGCCCCGGCCCCGGCTCCGTTGGCGCCTGCCTCCAAACCCACCCTGATGTACCAGCAGAGGCTGAGCGACGCCTGGAGCATGTCCTTCTTAAGAACCTGGTGGTACATGTCGCTGACATTCTCGTAGTGCGCCAGCCTCGGGTCCAGCTCGTCCAGGTACTGCAGGATCACCATCGAGGACGCCAGGTACGACCGCGTCAGCTGCGGCGGCGCGTCCGGCACCCCCAAGGCGAAAGGTCGGTACAGCGCCAGCAAGGGACGCCGTACGTGCATATCCAGTATGACGCGGCACCGCCATTGTTTGCTCTTGTCACTATCGCTCAGCGAGCTGGTCCGCGGGAAGAGGTAGCCGATGTCTTCGGCAAACCTCTCCATCTTGGCCCCCAGCTCGAGCACTTCGTTGCAATCCCGCACCGAGTCAATCCGGTTCACCACGTGGATGATCTTCATCCGCGTCGGCAAGGTCATGGCCGCGTACGACTGGATCTGGTTGTCGGTGGAATGATCCATCGGCCGACCCGGCGGGAGCTCGGTCATGTCGACGTACAGGTCGCCGTCGTCAATGTTCCGCGGGGCCTGGCACGTGTGATCACCCTCTCGGATCAGACAGGGCAGGTTGCACATGAGAGAGATGTGGAGGTCCAGTTCCAGGATGGAATACCACAGCCTCCTCCTGAGCTCGCCCCAGAAGACGCGGATCTGTCCGTCGAACTCGGACGGGTCGCGGTGCAGGCCCATGGTCATGGCCATGCGGACGACGGACCCTAGCTGCGTCCATAGTACGTGAGGCCTTGGCGTGGTCATACGTTGTGCGTGCAGGAGGAGAACCTCGGTCTGCAGCGTGGTGAACTCGATCAGGTGTTTGCCCTTGAGGCTGCTCAGCCACGACCTGACCAGCTCACAGGCGGTGGGGATATGGAGGCCATCGGCGCCGAGGCCGAGCCCTTTCGACTTGGACTCGAACCTCGACCCGGTAGACAAGATGGCGAGCAGCAGCGGCAAGAAGTTATCCGCTTCCAGCTTGTTGTCCCAGAACCGCTCGTAATCGGCCATGAAGGTGGGGATGTGTATGATTCGGTATATGGTTTCTGTGGTATGGATGTAGGACCCCAACAGTCGGTCGCAAACCGGTCTCGGCGGCAGGATGTGCTTCATGCGGTTACGAATCGGCGTGACCGAGTCGACGTAGACCGGGTTAGGCTTCAACGACTTTTTGTAATCTTCGAGGATGACCCTATGGAGCCGCAAGAGATTGTGCATGAGACCTCGAAACTCGTCGTGCCCGGATTCGTGCGCAAGGAAGTGTTTGGCATCATGGAACTGCAAAACGTAAAGACTGATCAGTCGAGGCGTTCCCCTGAAGAAAAGGGGGGGAGGGGGAGGGGGAAAGTACCAGATTTACGAGCACGCGTACGCTGCTCTGGCCGAAGAAACGAGTACGCAAATCCTCGCCCTTCACGGTCAGGCCACGTATTGTTTCGCTGGACAGAGGCAGAGGCGGACGGGGCACGCTCACGCCGGTGCTCACATGGTCGGTCGTGCCAGGGCTCTTTGCGAGGACAAGCTGTTCCAGGCGGTCGACTCGCGATGCCAGCTCCTCGAATGGAGACAGAGCGCCGCCGCCGGCAGCCAAGTCGCCGTTGCGCGATGACGCAGAGAGCAAGGGGTCGAGATGGGAGGCTGAGAAGGAGGATCCGTGGACGGCGGTCAGGCAGTTACGTTTGGCAGGCCGGCCGGATTGTACATCGGAAGGTTCGGCATCGGAAGCATCGGAAAGTGCGGACGAGTCTTGGTCGGCGGCGTATCTGCAGGTTCGCTGGGATTTCTGGCACTGGGAACAAGGTAGGTTCCTGTCGCATTTCAGCTTGCGCTTGCGGCACTCGGTGCAGGATTTAACTGGCCGTGGCCGTTTGACGCTGCGGGCGGCCGACGGGGTGGAGGCAGACGGTGCCACGGATGTCGCATTAAATGAGGGCGGCATGGACTGTTGTGGTAGGAGGGACAGTGTTTCGTGGGAGCCGTTGGGAGAGCCTCCGGTCATCGGCGCGAGGGTAGGGACGTTGGTGTTGGTGTTGGGGTTGGAGACAGGAGTCCCCACAGGGACGGATATCGAGGATGTCGCCATATGAGTGCTCATGTACTCATGTAAACAGAGGGAAATGAAGGCTAGGGATCGGTGGTCGAAAAAGAGGATGTGCCAAAGGAACAAGAGTTTCCCCTGGTGGGTGGCTGCCAAGGCCTGGGTAAATGAGCTTATTTAGTGTCGCGACTTTGCTGCGCCCGCTGATGATGTGCCGCCGACTGGGTGTTTCCGTTGCCACAACCACCTCGACTAGCAGCAGATACAATTTTCGCAGGACAGTAGTGGGGTGATATGGAGCCAGGCAGTCCTGCTGACGATATATGCGTGTGTGCTGCTCGTGCGAGAGTGGCGAGGCGACAAGGCTAGGCAGACGAGGAGCGGATCAAGGCCTTTCCAGGCGGCGACTGCGCACGTTTGCGTCTGTGCCTTTTTCCCTTTTTGATTATCCCAACTCCTGGTATATAGTCTTCTCCTCGACTCGTGTTAACGCGGGCGAAAAAGGGAGAAGAGAATAAATAAAAGCAACAAAATGAGAAAGAGAGAAAGAGAGAAAGGTCGGCGTGTGGAAGGCGAGGCGAGGCGAGTTGTGGGCAGATCATCCGCGGTGATTCGGATTAAGGATAATCTTGAGAGAACGGGAGGGACGCGTCAAAAGGGACCGGGTATTCTTCCGGATCATTCGTGGGCCAGCCGGGCATGGCTGAGTGGCGGGGCAAAGAAGTCTTCGAATATCGCGATAGGATGAAGATCGAGGTGAAGGAGCCGCACGGCGCGAGGAGGGCGGGTGGATGTGGTGTCCTACGAGGTATTTCCCTTAGACCTTAGACGCTGAGGTGCATGCAAGGATGGTGTGGATGGTTCGTCGGTTCCTTCGGAGCCGGTTGACTGGGGGGGGCGACTATCCGTAATCACCGATAGTGGGATTTTTCTAGTGCTGTCTTGTCTTGTGGGTTCACCGTCGGGTCTGTCGGTCGGTCGGGGTAAAAGGGTATGCGAAGGAGAGACGGAGAATTGAACAAAAGGGACGAAGTCAAAACGAAGAGGACGAAGACCGGTCGCAGAGGGAAGACGGAAGGGAAATGATGGCGTTAAAAAGAGATGAAAAATAAAATAAAATAAAATGAGACAAAATAGAAAGAATCGATCAAGTCAAAATAAGGTAGTCGGTATATCTGGACAGTAGAGGTAAGTGGGAGGGAAGTGTGTTGGAGCTGCACCTGGCGGAGGGGGAATAATAGAAGAGGGAATGGGGGAGTGAAGATGAAGGATGAAGGGGAGAGAAGAACACGAGAAAGAGGAAGTGGCACGACGATTTCGGTTCAAGTTGGCTGATCCCAACTTGGAATTCTGCCCGTCTTCATGTTCTTCGCCAAATTACTTATGTGATGTGCAGGCAGGCAGGCAGGCAGGCAGGTACTTTGTACTCCGTACTGCGTCCCTCGTGCCTTCCCGCACCGAGTTATCTCGGCACAAGGCTAAAGAGCAGAAGTGGCAGGCGCACCAGAAGTTTCTGCAACCTTTAAACACCCATATAAATCTGGTCGAAATGTAGTACTGGGTACATATTAAAGCCACCAACTTGCTATCATATGATCCTTTGTTGGACACAACGCCTAAACTAAACTTTGGACTGTAAGGTGAACATAAAACCATTTTTTTATGAAACAAATAAGGAGAAAGCGAAGTGGAATTTGCTCCTTTTCGTCTTTTTTTATTTCTTTTTTTATATATTCATCATAGAGGGTGTTTCCTTTGTTAAATTGACTCCAACATATAAACTTGCCTTGCCGTTCTCTTTCTTCTTTTCGTTTTGTTTTCCAATTAGGAGATCTGGGATCTCGGACTGGGGCGGCCTGGAGATCTGCAGCAGCATTGCGCCGTCGGCCCAGTGAAACGGCCCAACGAGACGGCCCAGGCCCCTTGCATCGACCTACCGAGGCTTACGGTTGGTTAGCCTCGTTCGGGTACGGGGTACATCGGAATGAGTAATGACAACGAAAGGTAAGGTACTTCGGATTTACTCCCTACCTTACCTACCTACCTTATGCACCGAAAGACCCAAGCCCACGGCTGGAGGATCTTCAGGTCAATTTGTGGTTTGGGATGGAGAAACATACAGAACATCTCAAGCAAACAACACAGGTAGGTAGGTACCTTAGGTGGTTTATTAGACACAGGCAGATGGTGCTTCGACCATGGTTCATTGTCCTCCGTTAGGCCATGCCATGCCGGTTTGGTACATTGTTCTCCTCAAGACCATAGCCGTTCTAGAAGCGCTTACCCCACGCACCACCACATGCGGCCGCTGAGTCGATCCGGCCGGTCGGTTTTATAAATGGCTGCCAACATGTCCGGGAACGGTCAAACCAAAGCAAACGACGAATTACGAATACCTCGACGAACGAGTCAGAGCGTCTCAAGTGAATTATTTTGTGTTGGATGCATTTATGGTCGGAGCGCCCAATAATGCATAACTCCCAAAATAGAGACCCTTTTGCTCAGCCCCACGATCATGTGAGCTCGTGGGGGGGGGGAAACTCAGGTTTTCCGACGTTGTCGGCCGAGTCGAAGATTTTAACAGTGTTGAGTGAGAAAGTGAAAAATCAAACATTAGAGAGATAATGGGGAGAAAGAAGAAAGAAAAGGGAAATAAAATCGAGATACGATTATGCAGTGTATTGTTCTGTATTCTGTAGTACAGACTAGACAAGCCGACATGCCTCCGGTTCCATCGCTCCAAGTTTGGTCTTTAATGAGGCCGAAATTGGACAGATACGGATAGACGCCGACCGATTCTCTTCAAGGGTTTGATGACTAAGGTAAAAGGAACAGGGCTCCCAGACTCGTGCGCTATCGATAAGGTTTGACCGCCATCTACCGAGACCGATAGACCAATCAACGAATGCAAACGGCTTAACGTTAACGACTGACTAAGCAGCCTTTTTTTGGTTAGCCTTGCATCGTGAACGGTGAGCTAAAGCCACGAATCCTTGACCAAGCTCTCCCACTGCAACTTGTCCTCTTCAATCTGGCCACCTTCATAATCACCCACGATTAAGCACTGCCTTCGACACTGGGTGTCTTCCACTCTTCTTCCTTACTGATTTCTTTTACGAGGTTTCTCTCAACATCAACAAACCTCAATGTCTCTCTAACTCTTCTTCCCCCTCCATCTCCATATATATCCCCCTCCCCTTCTTCAACTTACCACGCACATAACCCCTCCATTATCCCAATACTGCGGTCTTCCACTTCCTTCCCTCAAATTCCTCTCGGGCGCCATCGAGCCCATATCGTCAGGAACGGTTCACCATGATGCGTCTACGGCCATCGCCATTGACGCTCCTATTAAGCTGCGTCCTTCTCTTTGCGACGCACGTCTTTGCCGTCTCGGCAGTCCTTGGTATTGACCTGGGGACCGAATACATCACAGCTGCCCTCGTCAAGCCCGGCATTCCTCTCGAGATCGTCCTCACCAAGGACGCCCGGAGAAAAGAAGCCTCAACCGTCGCCTTCAAGCCCTCTCGAAGTGCCCAACATGCCTCCCGCTTCCCCGAGCGGCTCTACGGCTCCGACGCCTTGTCGCTCGCCGCCCGCTTCCCCGCCGACGTGTACCCCAACCTGAAGCACCTCCTCGGTCTCCCCGTCGACCACGCCATTGTGCAAGAGTATACCGCCCGCCACCCGGGTCTGCAGCTCGAGACCGATGCCGTCCGAGGAACGGCTGCTTTCAAGAGCAAGGCGTTCACCGCCGAAGAGGACGCCTGGATGGTCGAGGAGCTCCTGGCCATGGAACTGCAAAACATTCGGAAGAACGCCGAGGCCGCCGCTGGCGATGGCTTCTCGGTCCAGTCCATCGTCCTCACCGTCCCCCCCTACTTCACCGTCGAGGAGAGGCGCGCGCTCGAACTGGCCGCCGAGCTGGCCGGCCTCAAGGTCCTCAGCCTCATCAGCGATGGCCTGGCCGTCGGCCTGAACTACGCCACCACCCGGTACTTCCCCAACATCGACGACGGCCACAAGCCCGAGTACCACATGGTCTTCGACATGGGCGCGGGTTCCGCCAAGGCCACCGTCATGAGGTTCCAGAGCCGCACCGTCAAGGACGTGGCCAAGCTGAACAGGACTGTCCAAGAAGTCGCCGTCCTCGGGGCTGGTTGGGATCGCACCCTGGGCGGTGACGCCCTCAACTCCCTCATCATCGACGACATGGTGTCGCAGTTTGTCGCCTCCCAGCCGGCCCAGAAGCTGTCCATCCAAGCCGACAGCGTCAAGACCAACGGCCGGACGATTGCCAAGCTGACCAAGGAGGCCGAGAGGCTTCGCCACATTCTCAGCGCCAACACCAACACGCAGGGAAGCTTCGAGTCTCTTCACGAGGATGTCGACTTCAAGTATCAGATCACTCGTGCCGACTTCGAAGCCATGGCCGAGGGACATGCCGCGCGTGTCAACTCGGTGATCCAGGATGCTCTCAAGATGGCCCAGCTCGACATTTCCGACATGGACAGCGTCATTCTCAACGGCGGCGCGACTCGTACGCCTTTTGTCCAGAAGCAGCTCAAGGAGATTGACGGCGTGGCCGACAAGATCCGCACCAACGTCAACTCGGACGAGTCGGCCGTTTTCGGTGCTGGCTTCCGCGCTGCCGAGCTGAGCCCGAGCTTCCGCGTCAAGGAGATCCGCATCTCCGAGGGGGCCATGTATCCGTCCGGTATGAGGTGGACCACTGCCAAGGGCAAGGAGCAGCACCAGAGAGTCTGGTCCGCTGTCTCGCCTCAGGGCGCCGCCCCTAAGGAGCTCACCTTCCACCACTTGGAGGACTTCCAGGTCACGTTCTACCAGCAGGTCAGCGGCGAGGAACGCGACACCAGCCGCCTTTCCACCAAGAACCTGACCGACACCGTCGCCGCCCTCAAGGAGAAGTACGCCTGCAACGACGGCGACATTCACTTCAAGGTCGCCGTGAAGCTCGGCACCGGAAACGGCGAGGTCGAGGTCACCAAGGCCGCGGTGGAATGCGAAGCCGATGTTCCCGAGAGTTTCGTGGACGGCGTCAAGAACCTTTTCGGGTTCGGGAAGAGGGACCAGAAGCCCTTGACCGACGGAGAGGACTCGGAGAATGCAGAGGGTGCCGAGGCTCCCGCTCCCGTCGAGGCGTCCGCGTCGTCGGCCACTGAATCTGCCACCGGCTCGGCTTCTGCTGAGGACGAAACCACCTCGTCCACCTCCTCAGGCGCCGAAGCCGAGGCGAGCCCCGCGTCGAAGAGGGAGCTCGTGAGCATTCCCGTCAAGGTAACTGTCGAGAAGGCCACCCCGGCTCTCTCCAAGGAGGACATCAAGAAGTCCAAGACCAGACTCCAAGCCTTCGAGGCCTCCGACAAGGTGCGCGTCCAGACCGAAGAGGCCCTCAATCAGCTCGAGGGCTTCACCTACAAGGTCCGCGACCTCCTGGAGAACGAGTCCTTCTTGGCCGCCTGCACCAACGACGAGCGCACCACGCTCGAGCAAAAGTCCCGCGAGGCCGGCGAATGGCTCGACGGCGACGGCGCCGACGCCCCGCGCAGCGAGCTGAAGGCGAAGTACAAGGAGCTCTACGACATGGCCACGCGCGTGCAGAAGAGGAGCGAAGAATCCGAAAAGCGACCCGAGCTCGTGACGGCCCTGAAGGACGCGCTGAACGAGACGGCGACCTTTGTCAAGAAGACCACCGACGAGATCCAGGAGTACGAAGACTGGCACGCCAAGAAGAGCGCCGAGGCCTCCGCCACGGCGTCCCTGCCCCCCGGGGTCACCGGTGCTAGCCAGGCGGAGGACGAGGAACCCGTGATCCGCAGCATGGAGGACGTGCTCAAGGTCCGGGGCCCCGTCCCCCCGCTGTACACGCGCGAGGACGTCGGCCAGCTCGAGAAGCTGTACGACGAGACGACCAAGTGGCTCCGGGAGATGGAGGCGAAACAGTCCGGGCTCCCCGCCACCGCGGACCCGGTCCTCCTGATCAAGGACCTCGCGGCGAAGCGCGAGCAGCTGGACAAGGCGGGCGCGGATCTGGTGATGAGGGGGGTGAGGAACTACCAGAAGAAGAACAAGAAGTCGAGCTCCAGCGCGAGTGCCAAGCAGTCCAAGACCAGCTCGTCGACTTCTACGGCGACATCGGAGAAGCCTGCGGGCGTGACGATCAATGTGGGTGGCGAGTCGCACTTTATTAAGCATGGGGAGAACGGCGAGGGGCCGAGTGATGAGCAGCTCCAGGAGATTATCAAGAAGATCCAGGAGGACCAGAACAAGCGGGAGCAGGAGGGGAAGCCGGCTCGGGATGAGCTGTAGATGGAGAGCGGAGCGCAGAGTGGATGTTAAGTAGAGAAAGGTACATACCCAACTATATATATATATATATATATATATACCTGCACGATAGACGAAAGATATGTTTAATGACAACCGGTCCTGATGCGCTGGGTAAAGTGTGTGATCAATGATGTCGGGTCCGGTCCGGTGGTGCTCCCTCGATGAGTGTGTTCTCACAACGGCAGCAATGGCGACAGGCACATGGGGAGGGCTTTTTGCCAGCCATGCTTGAGAAACTACGACGCCAACCGAATGGGAAGCTTTCCTGTTATCGTCGTCTTCATGGACGAGCTTCCCCCAGTGTGCCATTCAAGGGGCAGAGAGAATGCGACGATTTCAGGGCAACACCAAGCTAAGGGCCGCTCTACGAACTCAGCTCACTTGCTTCCCGGCATCCAAGGCATTACAGAAGATAGTGAGTAATGAGCTATACTATTTCCTTCTTCACCTGTACACCCCAGTGAACGGGTAAGCGTCTATGCCACCCGACGCCGACACCTCCCTACGCTACAATGCTACAAATATTACCTATGAACAAACTCCTTTTGCCGTACAGACACCACCATGTTTGATACACCCCCCCTGAACCCTTGCGCAAACCGCCCGTATACTCGCAATGTAAAACACCAAATCAAGACCGCTAATCACGCCATCCGACCATGCATGCGGATCGCAACATCTCAGGTGGCTTCTAAGCACGTGTACCAATGCGCCTCCTCTTCAGCACGGATCCCTCCCCATCGCCCGCCAGCTCATCCACGTCGTCGTCGACCACCTGCCCCGCCGGGGTGCTAGGTCTCCGCGGTGTAGGCGTGGTGGCAGCGGCGGCGGTAGCCCGCAAGTTGGCCCCGACACCAGCACCGACACCGACACCGACGCCGACACCGACACTGGAGCCGGCGCTGCCATTGCCATTGCCATTGCCGTGGCCACCACCACTGGCACTACCATTCGCCGACGGAGGCAACCCGCTACGGTCCCTCTCCGCGTTGCGTAAATCACCGAGCAACCTCTCCACCTCGACAAACATAATACGCGAGTCGCGCACCACAGCGTCCTCGTCCACGCGGTACGTCGACGGCTGCTGCCCCTGCCCCTGCCCCTGGCCCGCCGACGCGGCCTCCGACTTGAGGAACGAGTTCCCCACGCCGCGGTACGGGTCGAGGTTATACATGATGGCGTTGGAGAACATGTGCACGAGCTCCCGCTCCAGCTGCTCGCTGTTGATGATCGACCTGGGCGGCAGGAGCTCGTCGCTGACGGGCAGCCACACGGTCGGCGTGCCCGGGTCGCCGCCCTCGAGGTTCTTGGCGGCTTCCGTCGCCGCGCGATTGCCGTGCGTCATGGCCGCCCGGATCGACTTGATGTCCTGCGGCTGGAGGATCAGGCTCTTGTACCCCGGCGCGTCGCGCTCCCGGATCGGGTTCGCGAACTGGTTGGCGCACCGGTGGCTGCTGATCTGGTCCAGGGCCGAGCTGCTGATCCGCCCGAACTGGCGCGTCCAGAGGACGTGCGTCGGCCTGCTCGCTGGTTGGAGCTTGGAGGGTTGCGGTTGTCGGGTGTAGGGGGGCGCGGGAGGCAACAACTCGGCAGAAGAAGATTGTCGCTTTCGCTTTTGGCTCATGCGTGACTGCATACCACCCGCACTCGGGGTGGCCAAGGGGCGTGTTGACCGCCGCGACGGCATGCTTTCGTCTGCTGTCGTATCACCTGTCTCTTCTGATCGCCGCGGCGTCACCACTTCGTCCTTGATGTGTGGCGTCAGATGATGGTCGTCCATGGACAGCTCGTCCAGGGGAGAGGCCACCGAGCGGCGTCTCATGGAGGCTGGCATCCGCGAAGGCGTCTCTGACGTAACCCCATCTCTCTGCGCACTACGTGGCGGCCGTCCCCTTCGAGCCGAAGGCTTTGTTTCTTTCTGTTGGGGGGCCTCCATCTTCGTGCTGACCTGACTCCGAGGTTGGGTCTGTGACGGAGCGGGGAGTTTGGCCGGCACCTGGACTGGACTCAGGGACTCGAACGCCGGACTAGGGACATCGGCACCCTGAGCCAGTGGCCGCGGTGTTGATGGTGTCGAGTTGGGGGCCCACCGAGTCCCAGATCCGGTCAAAACAAAGGACGGCGTTGGAGCAGATGCCGGAGTTTGGGGGGCTGCATGACCGGAAATGGTGTGGGTGTTCTGTGAAGGCGAAGAGGAACTGGCGAGCTGCGAAGCGAGACGAGGAGGAAGGGCGGGCCTCGGTAGTTGATTGACATAAGGGGAACTCGGGCGTCTTGACGCATCGGGCCGCTGTGGATGGGCAAGAGGTTGTTGGGTCTGGGTAGCCAGGGGGGAAGGGGTAAACTGCTGTTGTGCATACTGGGGGGCGAGAATGGGCTGCTGTGGGCGTTTCTGCTGTGATTGCGGCAGCGCAGCTTGCCTTGGGGGTGCTGCGGCAGGTGTAGGAGTAAGCGGTGCTGGAGAGGGAGCGGCGGCGATGGGCCGTGGCTGAGCGGAGGGGGTAGGAGTCGGCACATGGGGCGTCTGAGCTTGAGCTTGAGGGGCTGGGACTTTTGCGGTGGGAACGACGGGACGAGGAACGGGAGTTGTGGATGCAGGCCGGACCTGAGGTGGTTGAATTGCGCCGGGATCGGGGGCACTCTTTGTCGGAGCTGCTTGACCAGGTGCCGCTAGCTGACTGGGCGCCTGTGGTGGAGCAAGGACAGGCTGCTGGGGCTGTGATGGGGGTCTTTGTCCTTGTGCTTGCGGAGGAGGAGGAGGTGGGGGAGGTCGAATTTGTGACTGCGGTTGCAGTGGAGGAGGCTGCTGTTGAGACTGCTGCTGCTGCTGCTGCTGAGGTTGAGGCTGAAGATGAGGCTGAAGATGAGGTTGTGCTGGCTGTTGACCAGTCGACTGAGGATACCATTGCGACGGCTGCTGTGGTTGGGGCGTCGCGGGGGCGCTGCTGGCCGGGTGGGTGGTTGCCATTGCAGCGCGAGCTGCGACCTGGGCCTGAGCATTTGAGGGTGCCGGAGGCTGGTATGGCTTCTCCCATTTGAGCGTTGTAGGTGTCGGCGCAGAGGGCGGTGGCCCCGCCGGCGCCGATGGCCCTGGTGTCCTCGGTTTTCCGGAAGCATCGGGTCGCGGGGATACGGCGGGCAACGGCACGGGTGAGGCCGACTGGAGGCCTCGGGACGGCGGTTGGCCGGCGCCGACAGGGGGCTGAAGCACGGGACTCGATGCGGAGCCGTTCGCCGCGGCGGTTGGCTTCAGAGGAAGATGTTGAGGCCTGGCAGGCGGCGGAACAGCCTGGGGTACCTGGGTCGGCGGCGCAGTAGACGGCGGTTGGAAAGAGGCGGCAGATGAGACGACGGGCAGCGCCTCGGGGATGGTTTGTTGTGCGGGCTTTGGCGAAGGTTTACCGGGTGTAGAGGTTGCGGCGGGTACGGGAGTCGGCACAGGTGAGTGTGTAGGACGTTCAGCAGGAGAAGGCGCGACGGGCGGTGCGGTCGTCGGGACGGGGCTCGGAGTGGAGAGGGGCGTGGTCACGGCAGCATGGGACGGGGCTGTCTGGGGTTGTGCCGGAAGTTGAGGTGGAGCGGGTGTCTGGATGCGAGATGGCGTTGGTCGGCCCTGAGACGGGGGTTGAGGTTGAGGTTGAGCTGGAGGCTGCGTGGACGCCTGGACGGGAGGCTGGGCTGGAGGTCGACCAGGTTCAGTCTCGGTAGACGGTATGCCATCTTGAAGGGGCACCTGCTTCTCCTTCGCGGCGTCCGGTCCTGCTCGTTGCTTCACCAGTTCGGCTTCGGCCTTGGGTTCCAGCGCCTGGCGCTCGTCCTTTTCTAACTGCTCAATTTCTGCTTGAAGGTCGAAATACTTCCGCTCATCTTGGTGAATGGAGGCAAGAATTCCAGATCGGTATCTTTCCCAGAGCCTGTCGACGAGGGCGATGATCTTGTGGAAGTTATCGAGGATCAACTCGCGGTGCGGGATGGGCGGCAGCTGGGGAGGAGGGGGTCTCCCGGCGGGACAGGTGAGGTCGGCATACTCTTCCCGAATGTGGTAGATGAATAGTTCGCGGAGGGCGTCCGGGGTGAGGCGGGTAGGGTCGTACGTGGGTTCCGACTTGACGTGGTCGTTGTTGGTCAGCTCACGCGAGGCGGCGGTGAAACCGGCGGTGTCGACGCCATGAGTGGCGACAACCCTAAAGAGGAGGTAGGATTCGACGGGAAGGTAGGCGTCGAAATTCATGCCCCAGAATCGTTTGCGCCAGCGCTCGAAAGGGCCGCCGGGCCTCGGGAGGAGATGGATGGGCGCCACGGTCTTGTGAGGGCGGCGAGGACGGGTTAGAACTAGGTGGACGACTGTACGGAAGGGGGAGCGGAGGGAAGGAATAAGGATGAGAGATTGTGGGAGGTCGATCCCCGCTGCAGCAGTGGGTTCTGGTGGAAAGTTGTTGTGGGGAATATAGCATCGCAGGCGGCCTCGGCCTGGGAGCAGAAGACAAGAGGCCAGGGTCGGGGTACCTCCTTTGATGAGGGAATGGAGCCACCTACCGCAAATAATAGAGACGCATCTACTCTGTGATTTTGTTGCGCAATGGATCCCAACAAGTGGATGGAAAGGACGTCGATGGCTTCTTTGGACTTTTGCTGGGATGTTGAAGCGTCGATCGATCAATTGAGGCTATTCGGGAGAATCGTCGATGGGTTGGCGGTCGACAATGGGCAAGACAATACGAAATGACCAGATATTTCGTGCACAGGCTGCGGTAGGTTCGGACCTAGGTGAGTTCGATGGATCGCGGAGCTGAGGTGGCTGAGACGGGGAAGGGCGAGGTGTTGTCGAGGTGTTGTTGTACGAAGTAATTAACGAGTAGAGCTCGAGAGAGGGAAGAAGGAATGAACAGTGAAAGTGAAGGCTTTCCCTCCCTGGGGTTCGTCCTGGCGAAAGCGGAAAAAAAGGAAGCCGAGACGCCGAGCCCGGTACATGAGAATGTCACATTATGCAATGAAAAATATCTCTTATTGTCATATTATGGATAGCAGCAAGCCTCCCTTTTCCACAGACGGGATGGATACCTATGACAATGGCACGTTCCACTGTCATGTCAACGAGAAAAGCCCTCGTGATAATTTTGAGATGGGTGACTCTATTCTGGACCGTATAACCCCCTGACCGGCATTCTCGATGGACATGTGCTGATGATCTCGTGATGCGCCGCTGCGTCTTTTTCGATTCGATCAAGCTTCTTCTTCTTCTTCTTCTTCTTCTTCTTCTTCTTCTTCTTCTTGTTCTTGTTCTTGTTCTTGTTTCTTTCTTTTGGGGATCAAATCTCAGCCGCGCCAAGGCCGAGGACGAGATTGCATAAAGTGGATAGCGGTGGCTAGTGCTAATTAATCCTCCATCCCGATGCTGTGGGGAGATCTACATGAGGATGATTAATTAGCGGTAATAACGAATAACGAATGGTGAGGCGTAGATCCGCTTGCGCATCCCCTGTCCTGTCCAAGTCCGTTAGGTTCGTTTGGTTAGGTGGCTATTGGCGGCGGGTAATTAAGACATGGCTGCATTCGAATTCGACCCGGCCAAGGGAAGCAAAGCCAACGCAAGCAATCAAATCATTATCACGAGGGCTAAAGTCCGAATCGAAAGCAGAATAACCTCATGGATATTCGGCATCCGCATGCCAGAAATCACCTGTTGATGCCTTTCTCTCCCTGACCTGACATCTCCTCCATACTCCTGTCCGGACAACCAACCACTCTGCTCCTTGGCTCAACTGACCGTAATCTGTCTCAAAAGACTCAGAAGACTCGACAAGGGGCCCGGCCAGGTGATTTATCGTCCCCGCCATTCATCGCCTCTAGTGGGGTGCGAGCTCTCCCAGTCCCCAGTGACAATCACTGTAGTGTAATCACTGTACGTTGGAGGCCGGGGTTCGAGGACTCCAATAATCTCGAGGAATTCTCATTCCACTGCTCTGCTGCCTTTTGTCCTGTCCTGTCCCCCTCCCCCTGGACCCCACTGCAAGCCTTCCCCTTTCCTTTCTCCCCTTTGGTGACCCCTTTTTTATCAACCGATCGTCCGCCGTCCAACCCCGATCTCCAATCTATCTACCTTCAATCAACATCCACCTTCTAATCAACATAACATTCTTACTCCGTTGCACGAAGCTTTCTCGTCTGTGCCGAAATAATCATTCCTCTCCTCACTCTTTGATCTCACCGACTGGCGGCTCTTCCTCTTCAAACAACTCACCTACAAAACGAAATAAACAAAATAGCCTCCTGTACCATCAGCCATCTCGAGCTCCCCCGACAATATGTCCCAGAACATGACCGACGAGGAACTTGATCGCGACTGGCAGCCCAACGGCCGTCGTCCCCAATCGTACGTCCCGCAGGAGATGAAGCATTCGAACCCGTTCGGCATGAGATACACGTCCACTGACTCGATATTTCCCGTCCTTTAGAACCCTCGCTCGGTCTTTTTCCCAGGAGCTCGGGGATATTTTCCGCATCGAGAACAGTGTCAATGATCTCGACGAGAGGCTCGGCGAAAGGTGCGTATGCTCGATATGAACGAATCCCTCCATGTCCCTCTACGGTCCAACACGGCCTTGTTTTTTCGTTTCTTTTTTCTTCCTTTTTTTTCTTCCTCTGCTTGTCTTTGATTTCTTATGCTACTGGTTCAATTTGTTTTTCTGTCCTTCTTTATCTCATCGCTCGTCCACCGCCCGTTAACTCTCCCCTCCCCCCTCACCCAGGAAGAAAAATGTCAAATCGCAAGAGACCGAACTCGAGGCCCTCGAACGCCGCATCCGCGAGATGGAGCAGAGACTGAAGCGCGGCTCCATCATCGGCCACCCTCGTCCAGCCCTGCCGACCGCCGACGCCGACCCGACCGCCAACCGGGCCAACGATGGAGCCCAGGCCCAACCACCCCCGCCGCCCCCGAAAGATGACTCCTCCGTCCCCGCGGACAAGCCGAGATCACGTCCAGGTACGGCGCGTCAAAACCAGCCTCCCGCTCCGTCCTCGGCCAACATGCCACCCACTCCCACCGCCAGCGAAGGTGAATACCATTTTGTCGGCAAGGACGACCTTGACGATCATTTCCCCCTTTGCCCTGTCATTCCACCCTCCGAGCCGTTGACGCGTTGAATCGTTGAGCCGTGCACCCGTACCACGCGATCACTTGCCTCTTTGCTCCTACGCGCTCCTGTATCTCGTCCACCTTTTCCCGTCATCGTCCATCATGTGTTTTGTCCTCTCACGTCTCATGTTCTCCATCGAACAACAAAGCTATCCCTTCGTATTTTCAGAGAGAGACCCGGCTTGGAAACCAGACACGCTGACTTTTTCCCTCTCCCCGCTTCACCAGACGGCGACCGCGACAATGCATGATCGAACAAATCAACGAATGAATCCAACCCTGCCTCTGAGATC